AAATGAGAACTTTTAAAAAGTACATTGTTTCCCTTCATTTGAAAGGACTTGTTATTGTTGTCTTATTAAAGCAATGTCTCTATTCAGGGGTCACTATTATCGGCTCAGACTGACCCTCTCTTTCTTCTCTCACTTCCCTTCCCCTGGATGTTTTGCTCTTTATTTTAAACCACACAGCAAGGCTAGTATTAGATCCCCATGACCTAGGCTACACCTCTTAAACAAAGCAACTTTAATGAAAGTCTGCGAAGAAATCTGTTTTCCTGATAACCCATAATGCACGTTTCCTTTTGAAAACCAAATCATACAGATTACAAGCACAGCTATTGTTTGCAAAGCATTTAACCCGGACAGCTTTTAAATGTTTGACTGAAAAGTTTATCCTTTAGTGAAGATGGCTCAGTTTGATGAATTTAGGAATTTGATACCAGAAGAGAAGACTTATTTCTATTTTCTCTATTTAAAAAAAAAAAAAAGCAGTATTGAATGATTTCTATGCTAAAGTGTTGGGGGACAGGTTGGGGGGGCCTCATGATGTTGGGACAGATGGCATTTAGCTCTAGCTGTGCCGAGCTCAGTGGGACCCGAAGCTTAAGAGGTTAGGCCTGTCAAAACCACTCTGTTCATTCACTGCCTAACAAAGTGTGGACTGTCAGCCTGTTCCGTTTAATAAACTTAAGATTTTTCTTTTGTCAACGTCCAAGCAACACTTTGCAACTCGATGACCTGAATATCCCAATGTGCACGCGGGCTCAATGGAAACGACGGCACCTCTGGCTAAAGATTTTCCAAATTTGTGGACATGTGTCTAATGTGGACACTTAAATTGTAATAGCTTAGTTTTATTAATTAAACATGGGTCAAAAGACTTTTTCAGCCAGTTGTAGGCATGGTCATGATGAATGTGGACATTTAAAGATATTAAATCATATTTAATCTTTAAAAAAACAAAAATAAAATGTTTTGATTCACCAGTTCATCTCATCTCAGCAAAAATGACTAGTTGTTAAGTTGTATTATACTTCACAGTACAAGTTTAGACAGGAAAGGATGAGAGAAAGGGGCATGACCTGGAATAGATGTCTTAGCGTCAAACTAAACCATAGTCGTTGTGGTTTTGATTCACGAGGTCACTGGGACGCCACATATTCTGTCCCCAACTTTGAAGTCAAGTTCACAAAGAATGTGACCTCATTCAATGTATCATCTTCCACCACAAGAGGGAGACATACTGTAACATACTGTACTCGGCCCTCACAGGACCACATGGTAAAACTGTAAACGCCTGAAGCCCGGACGATATTTAAGTTTGTCGGAGCATCTTGAACTTGTCATGACATCAAACAGAATCGTTGAGCAGATTTTGTCATCTCATCCTCTCTCTCTCTTTCTCTCCCCCATCTCTCAATTTGTTTCAGTGCTTGTCGAGGTCAAAGGGTAAAGGCTGTCGAGTGTTGACCTGAGTGAGAGGCCGCGGTGACATCTGACCTCTAACTGGGTGTGCCGCTGACCCTGGAGGATACAGCCCAACAATGGGAGGCACGTGCCTTGGCCTTGTCACCATGGTAACGCAGGACCTTTTGAAACAGTGCGGTGTGGGGGTCAAAGCTTGGTCTTTATCCTGATCTGTGTTAACCATCTGCTGCCAATTGACTCTTGTAGATATAACGTATACCAGAGTGTGTGTAAGAGGTGGGGAATCTGTGGGCTAACTGGGTAATCTCTGCAGGCAACTGTGATGGTGCTTTTTATTCTCACAATCACCTGGAGAGATTCTGCAGTTTGTCTCATTATGCATCAGAAAACACCATGCACCCTAAATCTAATCTCTACTGTCTATTTCACAAACCAGAAAAACTATGAGGAGTTCATTGATATTTTTCTTCCTTCCTGGGACACGTGGTGAGACCATATTGTTTACTGAAGGTTGGCTCAAAAACCGTCCGCCCACCTGAAACAGTGATCAAAGAGGATTTCACACTCGGGCTTAAGGTAATGATCATTGCACAAGAGACGAACTGTTTCCATGTCACAGTTTTGCTTTATCTTTCTTTGCCCGGCTGTTACAAGTCAAAACAGTGAGTGATTGGTTAAAAGAAAAAATAAAGGGGGAAGATTATTGAATTACAGTCCTGAATAAGGGCCAACAGGTGCCGTCCACCTGGAAGAAAGCGTGTTTCACACTTTATACTTAGCCTCTTTGATGCTGTGCAAGCTGCACACTCATGACAGATAACCACCACCACCCTGATCTCCACCCACCAGCCAGCAAACGACTGGATATATACAAAATATAAACCTGAAGATTCAGTGTAATGTCATATTTGTCTCCAGGTTTTTTTTTTTTTACCTAATAGCACTACCATTCCTCCTGTCTTCGTCCCCCCTCATACCCCTCCACCTCTGATTTTCCTATCTCATCCCCTTCTCCTTGTGTTCTGCTGTGTTTTGGTGAAATCTCAGCTGGCAACTGTGAGTCGTTCACTAGCTGCTCTCACAATGGCCTCTGGGATTATGCTAAACGCAGCGCCTCGGCTGCTCTCCCCATCGACTGGCGTCAGCGACGCCCTTTGGAGCACACAGGAAAGAGATGGAGGGCTCTCAATGAAGATGTCACTGCAATTACACAAGTGCATTTCACAGACACCCTCGCTGTCTGCTCTTCCACCTCTCGCATCCCCCTTCCCCACTTTTTAAAAATTTCTTTTCGACAGTCTTTTGAAGTGCAGCCTCATCTCTTGCAGCTCTTTCATAATGCATGTCCATTTTGAATTTGCATGAATTCACTTTCCAGATGCTTCTGCTGCCATCTCGGCTTACAATGATGTGTGCTGTACAGTATTGGCTATTATATTACGGTAGAATGAAAGGAATGATAACCGCTCGTTTTTATGAGTTTGTGTTGTTTCTGTAACGTTCCTCTCGTCATTAGGAGATATTGCAGAAGGACCAACATGTTTTTGTAAACTATCCAGCTGTCGTTGCCCCTCCAGTGACGCCGGGGTGAAGCAGAGCTTTCTGATGTGGATGATACTGCATCAGGAACTGATTGGCCGATGCTCAATAGCCAACAGTACCTGATGCATTGCCTTCAGCATCGAAAGAAACATCACTGAGTACTGGCTCTGACAAATATACTTCAGTAATGAACTGTTTTTCATTTCTATTTGAGACTGTGTGTGTGTGGGTGTATGTTAGTCACCACTGTGGGCTGGGGGGAATTATGTAATTATAATCGTCGATGTGAAACTCAAAGCACTTATGTAAAGCTAAGGTCCATTCTAATACTCTGATATTTAAATACACGTTCATATCTAGTGTCTTAGGTTCCTTCTTGTCCTCTTTAAGTCCAAATTGGACACCTGGGTAAGTTTTGCATGTAGTTTATCACTTGGAGCTGTAGTTTGTAAACTCAAAGTGAGAAGGATCATCTGCTTTGCCTACAACAACATTTTTGTGGAGACTTTCTCACACCTAAAGGTGCACCCAGGCGGACACACCCACTTCAGTCTCGCCTTGATTTGCAGGAACGACTGTCTCCTTTGATTTCAGTGCGGAATAAGAGCGAGGGGAATGTTCATAAAGATCATAAGATAAAATCTTGTGTAAACATCTTTGATTAATACAGTGCTTTATCTAAATGCCTCTGCCATTTTTGTTAACAAACTTGCCAAGTGAAATAAAGTTTTAGATGTGAGTCAAACCTTTTGGACAATTATTTTGTGGGTCATCCATGTTTGTATACTTATTAACATGCATATTCTATTGGTAATTCCAGAGTCCAGTCCTGTATTGGTTCATTGGGCCTTTATGTGAGCCCACATTAATATCAACAGTGCAGGACCAAAACTCAGATGTAATTAACCTGGTAAACGCCCTGATTACTATAGTTAAAAGCTGACCGTAATGATTAAACACTTTATTTGATTCTTTGAACAGAAGAATTTACTTTTCACCAGGAAAATATTTTGGACTCTACACCTACCGGATATGGCAACATACAAAAATCTCCCTGCAATCCTCTGTCATCCACACCCTGTGAGGAAGGTCAGCATTTAAAGGAGGAGGTGCCAAGTTCATCTCCATCCACTCATCTCAGCAAGCTGTTGGCACATGTACACGAGTGTACACACACACACACACACACACACACACACACACACAATCCCTTGCTGTCTCTCCACCCATGGGAAATCCAGGAGGCCGTGCCAACTCCAGCAGATGTTCTTGAAGCGCAGGCATCTTGTAAACACCATGAAATGTAGAGGCTAATGTAGTGGTTGCTGACAGAGGTCTTAGCACATGATTCGATTTTACCACCTGCTGCACACACATAATCTACACTACATGTACACAAAGTAATGAAGTCTCTCGCAGCTTGAAGGAGTTGAGGGCTACAAGACCAGAAGTTAAAGAGTCATACAGTATGTGTGAATATAAATAGATTGAGAGCATATAAATCCAGTAAAAATGAATAGATGTCATAGGTGCAGACTTCTGCTATAAAACTGTTGAAATCGTTCAAAATTAATTGCAATAATAACGTGGCCCTGAAGTGTAAGTTAAGAAAAACACAACAGCAAAAGAAAAAAAACACAAAGACAAATAAGTAAACACAACAAATCACAAAAAACAAATCTTTAAACATAACATCTAATCACAAACGCACAACACCAAATAAGGAAACATCAAATCACTAAACCATGACAACAACTCACAAAACACCTGATGGGAAACAACACGATATCAAGAGTTTATCAAAGCTTAACTGAATCTCTATTATGATTGTTATTTTTACCCATCATAAATGATAGATTTAAGTTAAAAACTGTTTTGAGATATAAATGTTTTTTTATTTTATAAGATCCATTGATATTTTTTGCTTATGATCATTCCCTTTATTTAATCCACCACTCGTCAGTCCATAGAGGGAGCCACTGTGGTCTGCTGATCGCTCTCTGCGCCCCGGTGAGAGACAAACCTGCCCGGTACACCGCCCCCAGTATGTCATACTGCACGGACCGCATGTTCATCACAAGTGCTCCCTGCGCTCCGACTACCATCTAATATCCAGTGCGCACGTCCTGCAGGATACTTTGCGCACACACGCTCGGAACTGCTGCAAAAAATCTCGGGACTTTTTCTTCAGGACGCCAGGAGGAGTGTCTGGAGATCCACAGGTAACTGCAGGTACGTGGCCATGGCACCGCAGGATGACACAGCTACTGCGCAGAGATAACAGTGGAAACAATACACAGGAGAGAGCGTGAAGGTTGGAACAAATATAGGACAAAACAATTCTGCAGTAGCGCTTGTCTCTGATGTCGTTTCGGGGATTTCTCCGGTAACAAGTGTCAGGATCTTGGATTAAAAAACGAGAATCAGGAAAACGCACATTATGATGACGTTAGATTGGTCAGTTGTGATCTGTTGTTGTGCAAACGCACAATCCTAATCAACACGAGCCCTGCACGGTTGATTACCTCGTTCCTTTTCCTGACAGATTGACACACGCACGCACACAAACACTGGGGCATGTTTACGCACGATCGTTACGCGTATTACGCACTAATCCTTTTGGAGAAAAACAGCAGAAAAAACACTTCGCGTAGCTAAAGTCACAGATTTAGCTGGAGCGCCGCCAACATAAACATCACGCCAGCAGAGGGATGCGTTGAGACTCGTTAAGTAATGCCATCAGTGATGTAATAACTGGTATTAAAACTTGTATCCTTGTTAAGCGAAAAAAAAAGAAGATCCAGTTGGTTCCTCTGCTTCTCCTCAGTGTTCCTCCGACGTTCGGCCGACATGCTGGGGATCTGTGTGTGTCTGTGCGTTGTTTTCATGCATGTCCTCTCTCAGGAGGCTGAGGAGCCCATCTCCTACACTGTGAGTCAGAGATTTTTATATTTTTACCTGATTGTGTCTTTGTGGCTTTTAACACAACCTGTCATGTCTGAGATGCTACACACTTTAATTTGAATGTTGTAATTGGGGTCATTATCACATGTTGTCGCATTAAAAGATGATAATTTCATACTAATCTCCTCTTCACAGTGCACAGAGGGGTATGAGTATGACAGAGTCCGAGAGCAGTGCAGAGGTGAGAAATGTTAAGGGTTGATTATTTCCCATTTGTGTAACTTTTCTTCCTTTAATTCTTTGTTAATTTTCCCTTCATTTAATAACAAATAATAGAAAAGGCCATGTCTAATGTCTGTCCCCCTGTCCCTGCTTCAGACATCGACGAGTGTGCCTTGTTAGATGATGCCTGCAAAGGAGGGATGCAGTGTATCAACCACTTTGGTGGATACCTCTGCCTCCCCAAGAGCGCCGTCATCTACATCAGCCAGGAGGGCGAACAGGTGCAACTGCCGGAATCCATCCCTCCTGTGCCGCCGAGTCAGCCCCAGCTCCCGCCTGTGTTCACTGGCAGCCAGAGGCTCCCCCAGCCGACCCGGACGATCCGCTGTACGCCCGGCTTCACCCCAGATGAGCAGAACCTCTGCAGAGGTGAGATCACCTCAGCAATCCTCTTCTCCCTCTCTCTCTCTATTCAGCTGTAGGATCATATTTAAGTAGCCTTTCTTTACGGCTTTGCAACAACAACAAGGAGACAGCTCCACACATCTCAGCAAATGATGTTGACAGGCTCCTCGGGAGAGAAATTGGACTCTGTCAGCAGGAGCCGAGGTGCGACTGCAAAATATGGGATACAAGTGCAAAACAGATGGCTCCATCAAACGAGTTACTTTTAAATATCTTCCAGAATATCAAAGATAACATTTTTGGCCCCAGTGAAACAGATTACACCCTAAAAATGTGGTTGCAGATTGGAATTCCATTGTGCTGACTGCTGTGTACTGCAGGCAGAAGGGAATGCTGATATTGAAGGTGTTGCACATGGACAGATGCTGCGCTGCTGCCAAGAAAAATGCGTCCGAATGTGTCTCTAAGCAGAGCTATGCAGGTATTTGATAATTACTTGCTAATGACTTTGGAGCCCCGACAAGCAGAGCTCCGAAGGTGAAGCGTTCATCCATCTCCCTGACAGTCATGAACAGTTAAACCATGCGTAGCTGCCAGATGTGTTGCAAGCTCCTCGTTCTTTCTCTCTGTGATGTCATGTTTTCTAAACTCTTTAGCTCGCAGCGTGGTATTTTTTGGCTGGGGTGCCCCCTCTTCCCAAAATATGAGAAAAAAAACATAGTTTTGAGGGTTTGAGGTCTGATGCTTCGGAGGCAGATGAAGGAGATTTTACAACAGTGTGGCAGGTTCTGCTCTCACATCTACAGCATGTGGGTGTTATCCTGTGTTCAAGAGAGAGACTGTTTGATCCTCTCAGATGGGGAGGGGTTTAAAGAGTCATTCTTCGTCTCTCTCTCACACACACACACACACACACACACACACACACACAGAGTCATGTCTCCATGACTTCAGAGGACATTGCATTGACTTCCTGGAGACATACTCTAACCACAGTTACTACTTGCCTAACCATAACCCTCAACCGAAGCCTAACCACAACCCAATCTCAACCTGACTTCAATACAAGTCTTCACCTCAAAATTTCATG